TGTTATTTCTACTGTTTTCAGCAGAAGCTGAGACCTGCTTATGTTAGGCTTAAATTTATCTGCAACACATTTTCTTTAACAGAAATCAGGTATTATTTGGGCATTTGTGCATACTGAATAGAAAATAGCACAGAGATCAAATTCTTAGTTTCCTTTATGTATATTCAAACATAAAAATATATTATATATTCTCAGTGACACTAAATCAGGAGTAATTCACCTATTTCAAGCAGTGTAACTGAAATCAGCATCTGTTCCAAATGTCTTTTTACCCAAGGAAATTTGAAAGACAAATATTCAAATGCAGATTCAAATGTAGTTAGAAAAAAACAACAGAACAAAAATCCTCGAATCTACTTTACTGTTGGTAAAAGTACACAGACTGTTTTGCCTGATGAATAATTATTAATGAAGTTATAAGCAATGCTGGAGTTTCACCACTCCATTTCTTAACCAGCAATAACCACCAGGAAGATTCACATTTCTTTTTGGAGATACAATAGCATCCTGCTTTTAAAATACTAACCTGCTGGAACTTTGAAGCCATCTTAATCTCATAGCCCTAGAATTCAGCTTCTGATTTTTTTTTTACCCTACACTTAACGAGAAGTATTTTCTTAATTGTATTATGAACAGCAGAATAATGTAACATTGTGCTTTGAAACCCACTGGTTTGCCAGTTTATCCTCGTAAGCAGGATACATGCTTACCAGCAGGATAAAGGCAGACCTCCAGAAGATTTACTTACCAAAGGATCCAAACACTACATTCAAGTTAAAAAGGCATAAGGCCATAAAATTATCAGGGCAGATGCCACATCTCTTTGTGTACACCAACCTCTTCCTCTTCACTCACTGATGCATGATAATTGTGAAAGGAACTTCTCCACCAGATCTGTCTCTGCTTTGATGCTTTTCTTTAGGGACAGAGAAATACTCAAACAAGTTCAGATGAAAAAAAATGAAAAAAAAAAGTTTGCCGATCCATGTAGACCAGCATGAGCTGCACTGGATCATAGAAGAAAAAAATTCATATAGAGAGAATGTGCATTCGTATGACCAGTGGCATAAATAGTTACACTCCAACTTCAAATTATGTAAGAATTTTTCAGAAGAGTCTCTGATCAACAAAGTCTATAAAACTTGGTTATACCAATGGCACATATTGTTAGCCAGTATTTTTGGGCAGAAAGAATTATAACATTTCTATCAATACTAAAGATTTTCCACACACCTCTCCCCAAAAGAAAAAAAGTACAAGATGCAAACCAAAAATTAGTTTATGTTCTGTTCTTAGGTCCCTCATCACAGAAATTCATTCCCTATCACCACCAAGGAAAGTCAAGAAAGAACTACTCAGAGAGTACTTTTTTCTTAAAAAGCCACTGCTACACATTTCTAATCTATTTTTTGAGCTTAGAATATTTCTTTCTGAAATTATCCCACTTCTTTTGAGTATTTCTGTGTGAAATAGCTATGTTTCTTTTCTACATTACTCTTTTAAAAAAGAGTGGGGTTTTTTTCTGCAATGAACAGGCTCATAGACTATCATAAAAGGCCTTTCATGATTCAAAACCAAAATTGTTCATGGGACATGACATTTATGTCTTTCCCAGAATAATAAATAAAAAGGTCCTCAGTGCTAGGATCTGGAGTTCTTTTAGCTTGTTTTGATTTGTGGGGCTTTTCTTTGGTTGTTTTGTTTTGTTTTTTCAGGAAAATTCTATGATTTCCCTTAGTATTCACTCCAGGCAGAAAACCTCAGTAATGCAGAAAATATAAATTTATGTTGTATTATATTGTGTATTGTTGAATTTACAATATCCTTGTTTGAGTAGCTCAAAGGGCATGAGTCAGAGGGTAGAATGAAGAATGGAAATAATGCTGGATTGTAAGAAGCAGCTTTCTGTAGTTGGTTTCTAGCTTCCTGAAAAAGGGACTTTTTGTCTGTAATTCATGCATTGATACTTATCATTGAGTTTGTCATTAGAAAAATGACATTGATCTTTATGAGGTTATTTTCTCAGATCCATCCTAAAATAAACAAAAGTCTGTGGTGAAGGTTATTAAGGCAGAGAACCAAATTACTTCAGCAGACTTTTCAACTAACCACTAAGATGTTAAAAAAAGGCCATTAATGTTCACATTGGGTGCACAGTAGGCACATCCACTTGCAACCACAATTTTTGATCCAATTTTTTCAGGCTTAATACCTTATTTTGGGACAAATATTCAAGTTTCAATAGCTTTATCTTTGTTTCTGATATAGTAATGGATACCTCTAATTCTTGGTATTTACTCATCTTTAATATTACTCCAAGCTGATTAGAAAGGGTAGGGGAATCTAGGGTTATGACATACCTACTAACTTCTCATGTTTCTCCTGAACGTGATGTGATGGCTTTAGAATTCTGTCTCAGATTCTCATCAAAAGTACTTTATATGTCAAATAGAAAATTGCCTTATAAATATCTTCTTTGATTGAGAAAGTGATATAAGAATCTTAAACATTTATGAATTGTGGCCTTTCTTCTGTTCTTGAAGGTGAAAAAAACCATAGATTCTTCATATTTTAAAGCATTAGCTGGAAATCAAACTGATATTTTACTTTCTCTGCCTTTTTTTAGGGCTTTCATCATCCCATAACTGCAAGATCACGGCTATGAGCTTACTTACCAAACTTAAAAGATGCAGGGCAAGTGTCTGTTTTGTGGAATAACAGAAGTGCCCCGTTTTTTTCTTGTATGTCAAACAAAATATCTATTAATGCTTTTACAAGTATTTTAGTAATAAAGAAAAAATAAGTCGTGCTGTCACTGACATTTTATTTGCACACAAAAAAAAAATCTCTCCATTAGGGAAGCCTTTGATATTGATGCAAAATCTCCATTTTGTAGATACTGCAAAAACAACTGACTTATTCTCCCATGAGAGCTAGGTTCTTCCATGGTAGGTCCAGATTCATTTTTCCTTTGGAACTATGGGAACAATTGGCAAATTTCTCTCAGTTTGCATCCCAGAACAATCCAATAATTTAAGGAGCTAAGTCTTCATGTAAGAAATATTTGTTGCTTTTCAATTAAGAGAAGATGGAAGAAGCTATGCACAGCTGGGACAATGAAATATGTATGACTGCAAGTACCTGAGAGGTGGTGTTTGTGGCCACAAAGCCAATAAAAAAGGTACGTGGTGTTATTCATGTCTCAGAATAGACTAGATTACTACTGGAAGAAGAGTTGCAAACTGCTTGGAAAGAGTTGTGTTGATGTATAGTTTATTCTGAACACATGTAATAAAGCATTCTAACCTGCTGACCCCAGGCTGATTCTAGGCCAGTGGATTTCAAAAATAAGACAGAGAAAAGAAATATTCAAAGTCTTTCTATTTGTTACGAAAATAAAATTGTATTCATTGGTTTGTTTCTTTAATACTGCTGGTTCCTCTCTGTTCTTTCCTGATGTGTCAGTAAAGTAAATAATTAATCATAGTGAAAATTAAATTGTCAGAGTTATCAGTCACACAGTTAAGATGCTGTATTAGCTCAAAGAGGCAGTTCACAATGCTCAGAACTATTATTTTAGACACTGTACAGGACCATGTTGATACCACTGCATCATGTTAATTACTTGTATTATTGAGCTTTCTTATGCCAACATAAAAAAAAGCTAGAAACTTATTTTAAAACTATAAAAAATATAAACTAATATTCTGCAGACAGTAACCTCAAAAAAACCATAGAGGTTGCTGAATGTACACAACATAGGTTAGAGTTCAGCTTTTTCTTGATTAAAGCTGGGTCAGATTGTTAGCTCCTCCAAAATACAAAGATAGTCTTGCAATGACACAATTTTTGATAGTGAAGGCATGGCCTTATAGTATCTTTCTGCATATAGTTTCTTCCTTCTTTTCTTCCCTTAGTTTTTGCTAAATAAACTCCACTAGGTGCTCATGCATAGAAATAGGAGGAAAAATATTTCATAGATTGTAGTATCTAATGATACTTTTCCTATTTCTCTCCTGAATGAGAAATTGCTTCTTAGACCACATAAGTCTGCACTGGTGGCGGCCACATCACTGAGAAGGAATTTCTTTCATGGCATTCTCTGTGACTTAATCACACCACTGCAGATTTTTTTTTTCAGCAACAGTAAAATTTTAAGTATTCAAATAGCCGAATACCATTCGTAATTACTTCTAGAAAACTTTGAAGTTAGAAGGGGCTGGAGGACTAAGGGAGCTAAAAATAGGAAGAATAGCACTTGTTCCATCAGATGTCCTAAAGAATCTTTATTCCTCTTAGGAATCTCTCCTTGCTGCTTACTATGAAAAGAGTGATCAATTATCAGTGCAGCAGTATTACCAAGTCACAGGTAAAAATCATCAGGTAAATATGTTTTCTATCTTTGTTGCTAGAATTGCTTTTCACTATTACATATAAACAGTAAGAGGTATATAAAGAGTGATCACTTACTACTTGAAGTAAAGAAAGATACCCAAATCCTACATTATCAAAGTTTACTTTCACGTTTTTCCATCGGGCACTTTGATTGTTTTTTATGAGTTCCTCGCACTGACTAAAATTGTTGATTTGGTCGACTTCAAACCTTTCATCAGTTGTGGTGTTAACACAGTAGTAGAACTTCCCAGCAAACAGATTTACTCCCATGATGCTGAAAATTAGCCAGAATATAAGACAAACGAGAAGCACGTTCATGATGGATGGAATTGCTCCTAAAAGGGCATTCACAACCACCTAGTACACAAATACAGGGGGGGGAAAGAAAAGAGTGTAAGAATATTAACAGCAATAAAGGTTTGCATTCTGTTTTACCAATGCTTAATAAATACTCTGAACTCAAAGTTCAGAAACTAATACCATAAATGTTAAAGCTGTACATTAGTAACTGTTTGAACATTGCACTGTTCTTTTAAATATTTAACATTAAAACATGTAATGAAAGGAAAATAAGTGAGAAAATAAAAATAAAAATAATTGAAAGAAAAACAAGAGAAGACCTGGTGGTAGTAAGATGAAGCCTTATGACACTTATGTGTTTATATAAAAAAAGACAAATGTGTTAAATATAAATACAGACATAAAGAAATTCTAAAGATGCATCAAATTATAGTTTAAAAATGTTTAAAGAAAAATGGCAACATGTAGATTTGATCAACATAGCTTTGAAATTTAAGCTGAAAACACAAATGCCATGAATCTAGAAACTAAGCTCTGCATTAAAAGGATTATGCAGGAATTAAATACATATCTTTATTGCCTTATTGTTCCATGCAAGATTATAACAAAGATTAATTTCTTTGTATAGTAAAGCAAGACAGTTTTGCAATATATGTCTACTTGAATCAACATAATTTATTTCAAGCTCCAGTCTTATTGTTTCATGTATTGAGTTTAAGTCAGTAATAATACCATTCATTTATTTAAAGAAGGACACATATCAAGGACATATTTAGGGGTTTTGACTTTGAATTTTAAATTACTTGCGGCCAGTTGCCTTCTAGCCACTTGCAGGCAAGATTTCAATAATTGCTTATGTAGACAAAAAGTATATTTTTTTCTGATATATACAGTAATTAATAACATGTGTCTGTCAGAGCTGTCAAAACTTTTGTGATATTTGGCTAATAGCTGAGCAATCATTTCTTCTTAAGTATCTAATACCAGACCTCACTTACAAGTTATAGTTTATTTTTACTTTTTTTTTCCTCCATAAATCCTGTAGGACCTGGTAGGAAGGTAAAATAAAATATATAGTAGGGCTCTGATTCTCAGTATTCCAGTTCCTGCAGTAAGACAGGAAAGGATTGGCATGGACACTTAGGTTATATTAAGGTTTCTTAGTTCATCTTTGTTCTCTGTTTCTGCAACCTAAAGGGATCTTCCCCACTACCAGCATAATTCTGAGCAAGCTCAGTGCTGCTCAATCTTACTAACTGTATTTCACAGTCTCTTGAAGGCCTTTGGATGCAGAGTACTGTGGTTGTGTTACTCGTCACTCAGCACCCTCCTCCTCCCAAATGTTATGGCCAGAAATTAGGACCCGTTCAGAGATCTTAGGTAGAAATGGTATTTTCAGGGCATTTTTTCTTCTCATTTTAAGGGCCTCCTCCATTGCCAGACAGTAGAAATGGGACCTTTCCGTAACTGAGAATTATCCCTATCTTTTCTAAAACCATGATTTTTTTTAAATTTAGCTTTTCTTGGCAGCTTCTATTTCTGCTGAAAATTCTAAAGGAAGCACGCTTGCTTCTTCAGATTTCTTTTATAGAAAATGTGAAGTATCTAGGTGATATATGCATTAGCTAGCCAATTAAAGAAAATTCAAAAGGCTAACAAGGTCCCAGTAACATTCTGAACACAAAAAACTCTTTTCATGTGAATGAGGTAAATGTTTTTTACTATTCTTTGGGAAAAAGAAACCTGTTGCTACTTAACTTGATGTAACTGATATCAACATAAAAATTCCTAATGCAATGATTCTGGAATTTATTCCAAGCCTAACTTGATCTGTAACACTTCATTTTCCTATTACGGATTTGAAAATCTAGGCCACCTAGTGCTTGTCTTATATCTATATATGTGGGATTTTTTTTTTTAACTTCACCCATAAAAATGTTCTGGATGTGTTATACTGATTGAATCCTTCTGTTTAATGTTGGTGAAAAACCTGAAAATAAAGATGTAAAGAAAGAAAGATGGGAATTTAGTCCTGCAGCTTAAATAAATTAAGGTTACCTGTGCTCACATAAAGAATGGTTTTGTATGAGCGCCTGCAGTAGTTACCTTTTTAACAACCCTGAGATCCGTTGGACTACAGCACAGACCCAGAACAGGCAGCAGAATACTAACACCTACAGTAATTGTTACAACAATTATCAATTGATAAGAGTTGTAAGAAAAAAGATTTCTACAAAATGCCATCAGTGTGTCTCACATCTTCAGACGAACAGGTAATGCAGCCTTGCTACTGAGACTGCCAAAAGACCAGCTGCATCTTTTTGAGTAAGAAGTGAACAGCTTCCAGCAACTGTTCCAACAACAGTTCCAACAATTTATTTTATATAGGTCACTCAAAACCCATCAAATGGTAACAATTTTTGGTCACTACTGACCTGGCCTGGATGCGAACTGGTGACCTAGAGATGAAAGGCTCTGTATCCTATTACCAACCCCTTGAGCTATCCAGTCCCCCTGGAAGGTTTTTTAAGAAAAGAAGAAAACAAAATTAAAACTTTTAGAAGTTGTTTTCTGTTTGTGCTTTTTTTGTTTGTTTGATTTTTTATTTTTTTCCCCACCAGTGTTGAGCCTTTGCCCTGTCAGATTTATAATGTAAAACTGCACTTTTACATGCTGGTCAGATGCTCGGCTGACTGTAAACTCCACCTTAAGAAGAAGTCTTTAATTTCTTCAACATATACAGTTGGAGGCAATTGCTTTATCAGTGTTTTTCTATTTACTTCATTGATATTTGCTTTGGGAATAGCTGAGGTATATCAGGATAACCAGGACATTAGCTTATATAATATATATCCAGGTTAGCACCCATATATACACACACAAGACCTACACACATACGTTACAGCAAATGGACAAAAAAGAGTGAGAACCAATTGAAAAGATCAATTTGCATTTCTTAATGAGTTGAAAAATTAGCAAATAAAAATTGTCAGTCTTGTTGAAATGAGTCTGTAGTGGGTTAAAAATGCTGTCAACTGCAGCTCTTATTTTTGCTCAATCTTCAAATCTAGATCAAATCTAGATGTGATTCTAAATGCATTTTGTATTTTAAAAGGAGCTGTGGCTTTGGGCTTATTTTCTGTTATTCCTTGATACAGAATATAACACCAAAAAATTGGAAAAAGATGTTTACAGAGTTGTTTGTTTAAATTACCTATGGATTACCTCAAGGCTGGGATCTTGTTGGTCAGGCTGACTCCGGTGAGCAAGCTGCAAAAGCCCAAGCTGATTCTGCTTGTTCACCTTCCTATAGCTTCAGGTAGGTGGAACAGCAATAAGTGCAAATAAGAAGCAACACCTGACACCTACAAAGACAAATGGGCTCTAGACTATTTTACATCTCAGTTAATAATCATCCAGGAAAATAAAAAAAATCATTGTGGGAAACCATGTCTGATCTAGAAGAAAGCAGTATTTCATATATATACAGAATTTTTTCATGCTTACATTTTCATAACATTTATCTTCCAACATCAGATATATACTTAAGATGAAAGAATTACTGCAATGCTAATTATCTCTCTTATCTTCTGGCTCATATAACATGTCAATACAAATTAGTAGTACAGTTATTGTTTCTTGTTTGCTGTTTGTATTTATTTTGACAACTTTGTATATTTTTTGACAACTGTCCAAAGACAGCAAAATGGAACTGAAAACCAAACCAAAACAAAACTTTCACTGCCAGAGCTGTGAGTATGTATAGAATGAGGACTGTGCAAAGTATCAGCTTATCCCTGCTGCATGAGTAGACTATAAGGAAGCTTTACTAGATTCATCCTTGCTGTGGGACACAGATCTGAAACACATAGTGAGATATGAATGTATAATAGTTCCCACAACAAAATAGCTTCAACAGATCCTGGCACCTCAGCAGCTACAGGCTTTCCAGGAATTCCCACATTGGACCTGCCTCATGAACATATCAGGGATGCCTGAAATCTGTAAACAGACCAGGAACAATCCTCAGTAGTACTTATCCATTTTTCCATAACTTTTGCAGATTCTGTGAAGAAGTTCCAAACTCTGTCCCTGATACAGATGAGGAGGAAGTTACCATCTTTGGGATGGACAGAAGATTATAGGACTATGTCTGGAACATTCCGCCTTCTTAAAATTATGTACTTTATTTGCCTCCGCTTTGGAAGTTGTCAGCTTTGTAATTTTAGGCTTATACAGGAAAGATTCCAAAGATTCCCAGACATTTGATGTGCCAGATCTCATATCAGAGTCCTTTGAAGAAGTGCATCAAAGGCTAGAGAGGTTATTTAACTGTTACTTCATATTTTTTTCTGCACGTACATGCTCACCTAAGATTCATATACACAAGCACAGAAAACCAAATAATTTTTACTTCACCAGGACTCATGAATGAAATCAAACCTTATTTTCTATGCATGCTATGTGGCCCTAACAAGCACAAGAGATGTTCCTCCTGTACTCAATTCCTTGACAGCTGGAAAAGCCTGAGAAAGCCTTCAGGAACTCCAAGGAAGAGAAATAAATTGTGGGCTTGAATACATATGTTCAAAAAAAGGAATAATTTCTTTCTTTTTAAGTGATTATCTATACAGTCACACAGTCATAAACTTCAAATAGTGCTTGTTACAAAAAGCCATTAATCTCTCTTTTAGCAGCCCAAAGGTTGGAGCCAGTTGTTCAAAGATAGCCGATGCAGTGGGAGTCTGACAATAGCATACATAGCATAAGCCACATTTGAACAAAGTAGGAAAATTCATTCCTGACTCAAATGAAACACTGACACTGCCTCGGGCAGAATTTGAGAGTAAGCTAAGAGTATCAACTTGTCTTGAACAAGGATGAGGCAAGAACATCTGCCAGAATCTCCCCTGCTCAACTAGCCAAAGTCCAGATGTAACACAAAGCTGCCAGAGAGAGCATCTGCACTGAAAGATGAAGAAGTGAGCAAATAGACATTCGTTTAGATTCTTGATCCACCACAGAGGTAAGATTACTGGAATGAGCAGGTAGGTATG